GGGTATTAGTCAAGGTAAACAGCTCCAATTAATCCAGTAACTTCTGTGCTTCTCTAATTGAGATGACTTCCGGCGCATTTACTGCTTCCCATTCATCTTTTTCGCGACGCTTGCCTTGGTTCGAAACGACTTTATCTAGTGACTAAAAAAAGAGACTTGGTACAAAAATTTTAAACACACTTAGTGATGTCTTCAATCAGATCGCATTTATCCTCTGATGGTTGCATCATCAGGTGATGCAATGTGAGTTTGAACCCAGCGTTTATGAAAGCGTCGATCAGTACGTGCGGATGTACAAACGCTCAAGCTTTCTTGTTCAGATGAAGGTCCACGAGGAGCTCCACTTCGGCTTTCATGATAAGTTGCTTATCTTCGATCACGGACAAAACGTACTCCAGTAAATGTTTCCCAACCGAACATTTGAAAGACCAAATCACGCCCGGATCCACTGGTTGACTCTTAGATCCAAAAACTGTTTTTCCTTTGAGAATTAATATTCTTTCTGGGAGCTGCCGGTAAATACAAAGCTGTTTCATTTGCACCGAAAATGTCAGTCAGTATATCCACCGATCAACTGCGGTAACCCCACTGGAAACTCGCCCACTGCATCAAGTAGTACCGCCAAACGTTTACCCCAATATGAGTAGTTGCTTGTCCCTTACTTTGTAGGATTGAATACAACTGTCTTACCAACAGCGAAACCAACCTTCGGAAGCCTTGAAGTCACAATTCTTTGTGCTAGCTGGACTGCCCTTTTACAAACGATGCTCAGGGCCATGGGAAACTCACTATTTTTGTCCCTCATTGCAGTAAACCAAACCAAGGTCGCCTCATTCTCTGTCTTCGTTGGTTTTCAGGCGACATCTTTCCTGAGATGATCCGCCGTTCATAAATTCTCCGATAGTCGTTCGCTGGCTCATAACACTGCAAAACAGTTGTTCCTGCAATACCATGTGATTCGGCTACGGAGCTCTGAGTGGCACCTAGCTGTTTCAACATTTCCAACACATTCTGCTTCTCTCTGACCAATAGGTACTTGCACATTTCAATTTAAATGTTACTGTCTCCGATCCCCTGTACCGGTGTGCCTTCCACGCAAGGATTATCCAATCAGTGAACAGTGTCATCTTCACGTCATACAAGTGAAACGTCATTGGTTGAGTGCGACACTGCAGGTTGGCTAGTCAATGGCTGTCCGGAAGATCGGTCAACGGCCAAGTGAGTACGTAGGTAGGTGAGTGGGAACTGCGACACTGCATAGTCAGAAACTACATTATGTGAATAGTTGGTTTGGGTTTTCCAAAAAGTGGAAAAATATCAGAAAATGCGACTTCTCAAGGGTGCAACATGGTAGGAAATTGACTGTATATCGTTTTAAGAAAGAAAACAGCTCATCATTTCGTAATGGGCGGGATACTGGCAGACTGCACAGAACATAGCACGTGAATTTTCTTGGGCAATTCACAACCGGAGCCTTCGAGTAACCAAAGCCTAACAAGCAAAGCATCGGGATGGTGATAAATGCATTCCATGGAGGGTTCGAATGGCCAGTTCATCGGATCCTACTCCATTTGGACGGGGTGAAACGTCCAAGGTGACCAATGCACCTCAATACCCAACTGAGCTGGTCATCACTGCCACAATCAGGAGGGTGTGCGCGTGGTTCATGCGAATCTGCTTTGTTCGATTGAAACCAAGAATTTTAGCCTACTAGGTGAAATTCCAATGGTTCACCGAACTGGCTATAGCACTAGATATTAGCTTTTTGTCCTCTCACTTTGATGGGAAAACAACTCGGACGAGGAAAGGCAATAAGTAGGTCTTCGCGGCAGAGGCTGATTGAAACACTACGTTATTTCTACTTTTTTATACCAGCTTGCTTCATTGTTCTTCAGTTACTTTCCCGGGCTTACCGAAGCAACATTTAAAAGTCTAACGCCGCGGTTTGACAAATATTCATCACATTTTTTTAATCCACGTATACCAGTTAATTATGAAATTTTCAGACTGTCATGCAATTTGTTTTGGATACATCTTAACCACGCGTGACATGCAGGGCTGACACGTTGTCGTTCCCAGGCCTCCACACCCAGTCTGAATTCCGACAAATGCCATCTAGCATTAACGAAATTAGCCTGTGCCCTAGTTTGCACATTTATTCCCAACCGATGAGAGAGAAACAAGTGAACTTCGTCTTAACCTTGGGAGATGATATATCTCGATACTATGTGGGAACAAATTTTTTCCCGGCAAATATGTGTCGTGTGACGTTTGGCATAGACTGAAATATAAGCTTTATTGGTTACAAAAGTTACCCAATACAATAGTATGGCTATTATCCACAAGTGTGAGTCGGTACGATGCGTACCTTGTCAGCTGGTATTCTCGTTTTCGCACACGTTGAAACGTTTCGCCTTGTGCTAATGGGAAAGGATAAATTCTCTTGGTGTGTACCAGAACGCCCTCGTTCTACCCTGAACGTTTTGTATTCAAAAAGACTATGCACATCGTCAAGGTTATTCAAAGAAATTAGAAAAAAGGAAGCCGATTTAGACACTTTAGTGTGGTGAGCAGCTTGAGAGAAAGATGAGTAAATAGCATAGCTACGAGGATCGCTTATAGGAACTGTCAACTTGAGTCCTGACAATTGAAGTAGTTACCGATAGAATGTCTCATCGGGATACGTAAAACTGATGACCGTTTATTGAAATGGTATACCAGTAGCCCAGGTCAAAATGAATCATAGCCAACTATGAGACACATTTATCCCCAATGCGGAAATACTGCTTTTGATTAGACTACTGATCAGCAGTAAAAGAGATAAGCTTTATAGTCAAGACGATTCGTTGTTTGATTATGAGAACTGATGATATAAGCATTCGGCTGAATTGAGAACTAGACAAATGGAGACACTGTACGCAGTGGACTACCATCAGAGTCGAGTGGCGCGCATGATCAGCAGCAGCAGCAGCAGCAGCGCACAGCGAAATACAGTGAGACGAAGTTCATTGATCGCTGCCAAATTAGCTATGTAGACGAAGTTAATGTTGATTGCAAACGAGGACAGGGATGGAATCTATTTTGAGGAATGGGGAATAAAGTGAACCTCCATAGTCGAAACACAAAATAAACAATCTAACTGTGCATACATACCGATTCAACCATTCTGGCCTGATACGAAATGACAAAAAGAACGCCACTGCTGTCGGTTTGCTCCCACATCCATCAATGTCTCCAACCAACTCGTTGTGGAATCTTTCGAACCCCAACCTGGGAGGCGAGAGACACCTATTCTATCTAATAGATTTGCGCATTTCTTCGTGCCTCGTCTCCACATCATCTGTTGACCTCAACGGAGTTTTCTCCAGCCCGGGGCGGCTACAGCAAATAAAGCGCGTGCGCAGACGGCGGTTGGACATACACAATACGTGCCCTAGCCAGCGAAATCGACTAATCTCAATTCGATGAGCTAACAGGTTTATCCCTGAAAAACTCCCTAACAATGACGACTTACCTCCAGATTACTAACCCGATCCCTTTCATTCCACGTGGGCTGAACTAAATAAACACACAGATAACCGAAAAATTCTAGTCGATGGATACCTACTCGCAAATTCAAGGTTTCACAATCATAAAGCAAAACTGAACGAACGGTAGCACAATAAACACGACCTTTCAGTTTTAGTGAAACATCGCGTCTACGCCACCGGTTTTTC